TTTATTGATTGAAATAGTTGAGACATGTCTCTACATAGTTTCCTTAAGACAACTTTTTCGGTCACTCCTTGGGGCTTGAGATGTTTTGCTTGTTTCTCTCCTAAGATATAACAACTAGATAACGAATAGTAGTACAACTGTGGAGATCAAAGAACTATCTCTTGCCTTCACTTATCACTGAAAAACTAATGGAGAAATTTTTTTTCTCCTTTTGAACTTGTAAAAAAAAAAACCCTTTTAAACTTGTGTTTAACCTAGTAGGTTAACTTAGTATTTATAGGAGATTGTCAAAGGAAAAATAATCCTTTCGGAACTACAATATTGTATTCCAATTGAATATAAATTTGTAATAATATATTCGTATTTTAATTGAATATAGATTCATATATAATATATTTGTATTTAATCAAATATGAATTTATAAATAATATATTCCTATTTCAATTTAATATAAATATGTAATAACATATTCACATTTTAATTGAATATAAATCCTTAAATAATATAACATTATCCTATTAATATTCGAATTTCAAAGAATCCACACAATATCTTTTTAATTTAAAATATTCAAATAGATATTTCATATTTAAAGAAAATTCAATTATCAAATTCGTCAATGAATTCACCATATTTTCCCAACAATTTGTATTCGATTGAAATATGATATTTCGATGGGACTGAAATACCTTAATTTTGGAATATATTTCCAATAAATTTCCTATGTGAAACTACTATAAATACCTATGTAGCTACATGCCCCAACTACTTCTCAATTGTGAATTAATTTCTATATTGTTCTTTTTAGATATATTTTTCCTTTTTATCGTCTTGAATTCTTATATATAGCATAGATCCTAATTTCTTAAGTGAATGCTATTATTTATAACATTGCATATATAATCACAATGTTGTTAAGTGAAATATGTTGATGATATTAGTATGTTAATGTCGAGATGAAAATAAAATAAAATAGAATTTTATTAGTAAAGGAGAAGAGATATGGTTGAGGGTACATAACCCAAGTAATAATTGATACGAGTTGAGACCTACAATTACACAATTGCCTTTTGTAAAACCTAGTTATTTTACAAGGGATTTATAGTGTTTTCACAAAGGAGAATATTGAAAATAATATATTCTGGCCATTAATTAGTATAGTTGAGAATACATAACTTGAGTACTAATTGATACGAGTTGAGGCATGCAATTACGCAATTTCTTTTGTAAAACCTAGTTGGTTTACATGATATTTATAGTGTTTTCACAAAGGAGAAAATTGGAAATAATATATTTGATTATTAATTAGTATCTGAATAAAATAAAAAATAATCAATTAATATCGCCTTAATTAAAATATAATTGTGAAATGTAAGTCATATCAAATTACTATTCAAATTAAAAAGAAATCATATAATAATCTTTTAATAATTCATATTCAAAAACGTATGCCACATTTAATTAGTAGTGGGCGAGAATATCCACCCTAATGGAATATAAAGAGCTTGGATTTTCAACCCTTAGACCTACACACAAGGCATAATTTCAACCAGGATTATTCAACAATTAACAAGTTGGTTTGTGTATATAAAGCATTTCCTTGCTTGATATCCCACCAATGTAGGATATGAGTTCTCATTTTCCTTACGCAACATAATTTATAAGTACCCTACTTTGAGTATTAATTTATCATTCATCGCTCAACCGTTTTAAGCATATAAAATACCTTTGTAAAGATCTCACGGAGTAGGATATGAATCAGTATATTCATTATTCAATTCTCCATCTTTACACTTAGAAAATATGCCTCAAAGTTTCTAATTTATCACATTTTTTCCAACAGTTGCTTGGTGAATAATGTTTAGTTTAGTACAAGCGTGTTGTTTTCCTTTGCTAGCTTCCTCTTATTGTTTTATTTGGCACTGTTTGTTGCTGGTTCTAATATTATCGTTTCCATAAAAAATGGTCATTATGTTCATTATGAGTCATTAGGTAAGAATGATGTGCCTTAGAATGCAAATTGGGTTGATGACTTCTATGAAAATCATGAAAATAAAGTTTCTAATTTATGCTCTTGCTAAATGTTGCAATTTGTGCGTTCCAGCATAATAAATCAATGAATTTATATGATTTTAGTCACTTGAATTGTTTGATAATATGTTAATTGCATGTTGGTATGGTTTACAGCTGATTTAGATTGAATTTTAGGCTTCCAACTGCTTGAAATCTTTATTTTTTTGTCATGATATCGATGTTGAATGATTCAATATTGGTATTGGTTGATTGTAGTATGGATACTACTTTGTTTAATATTAATATTCTCCACGCAATATCAATACTTGTTTACAACGACAGAATATTCCATTTGTTTTAAGGTTTTGCCTGCAATGATGATACTGAGCTAGATAATATCGATACTGAAGGTCCAAAATTATTTTTTAACCTATGTTAAGGGTAACTATGCATGATAATAGTACGAGGTTCATAATTGGATGCTTAGATAGCATGATAGCCTCTCTTTTTTAATGCTTTTAACATGATTGAGTATGATTATACTGTGATATCGTTTGAAATAAATTGAATATGTTATATGTTTGGTTTTAAAAATTATTATTGGTATCTGTTATGATTAATGTAACATTTTAGATTCATATAATTTCTTTTTATTCTATTGATAATGTCCACATATTTTGTAAATGTATCTGTTTAAATTCAAGATCTCTAGGAAGAATAATATTAATTTTTACTAATGAGATCTCCTAATGGATTCTATTATATGCATTGTAGCTAGATGGATTAAAATTTTGATGAAGGAATTATGAAACCCTTTATGGGAAAAATGTACTACTGTATAAATAAAGCACCTGAATAAGGATATCTTTTCCATATTGCTAATGAAATTCAGACAGGTAAACAAACAACAAAACTAGGTGTTAACATCCTTACAAGAAGTAATTTCCATCATGTGCATTTTGTTTGGAGTGAGGGACGTCCCTATTAAACGCCTAAAATGAAATATTATCCAAGCCAAATTGGTCCATGATCTGATCTGCACTAGCTCTACTGCTAGTGTTAAACAAGGCATCAGGCTCAACAATGCCAAACGACTGCTGCTGCTGCTGAGATGCGTTCTCTTGACGACTTTGCTGATAATAGTAGGAGTTTCCATCGGCTGGCATTATGGAAGTTGCGGTACCGCTTCGATTATATTGAGTCCCAAGAGCGAAATTCAAGTTAATTGTGCCTGATAATCTTCTGTTGGTTGAAAGGGGTGTTGCAGGACAACCTGTAAATCGTTGCACCAAGGCTCGGAAATTGCCGGTGTTAGCATTGAGAAGGGTGATGGGCTTTTTCTTGGAAACTCTAGGCCGCCTTCTTATTGGCTTTGAGGAAGAGACAGCGGTACTTGTGGCATCAGAGAATCCCAGAGACGATGTTGATATTTCATCATCAGTCTGTTCATAGAATCGCATCTTTCCAGCGGAGGTGTTCATGGAATGGAACAATAAGATAGAGTGATTTTCGCTGCTTTCTTGTTCTTTGGTAATAGAAATGAACAACTTCAGCTTCAAGTTGTTTAAATAGTGACAAATCTCCAGGTCAAAGTAAAAGATATACAGTAGCTTGAGCCCATTGCACAGGAGCTTCCTGGAAATCTCGTGGGTTAATATCATCAAACGGGTCACCATCCTAGCACATTAGTGTAGGCTAAATTTGGACATTCTTTTCCTTTGGCGGGTCTTTTCTTCTCGGTCAACTTATTGATTGAAAACATTTAAATGCGGGTTTCCCTGTTGAAACTGTAATAAATCTCGGCTGATTTTCCTCTTTTTCTTCTCCATTAAGGTGAATATATACATCATAACATGACGATACGTATGTTATCGGGCTAAATTGGATTGGATTACCAATGGATGAGTTTGCCCAAGCAACATGCAAGAATTGAAATTCTAGCTTTTGAAAAGTCGCCATTGCCTACCTACCTGGTAGGTACATAAATGACTAAGCTTCTATATTCTTGTTTTTCCACATTGTCTTTTCTATGCATTTATAGGATTACGACCCAATTAATTAAGGTCTAAGGATGATATCAGACATCAATGGGAACTTGACTTATTCCATGCCATGCCATTGTCATCATAAATGCATGGTCAATTTATATGAATTGTCTTAATACTTGTGTAGGATTAATCCCTTTATTTTAATATAAGTAATTCTAAACTGGTTCGAGAATTCCAGTCTAATCGTTAGTAGTCATGTGCTTCCATCATTAATTTTGATGATATGCTATTCTGTCATTTTCTTACTACCATTAATTAGTTCTACTTTAATGTTAGTCATTTATGTCCTTGTAATTTTGGTATGCGGTAAAAGAACACAGTAGTTGATGATTAAATTAAACTGCTTAAATTCCTTAAATACATTAGAGGAATTAAAATTTAAAATTGAATTTTATTCTATCAATCTTGCAAAAAAAAAAAATTGTATTGTATCAAACCCAACAAAGGAAGGAGAAAATGTGTTGGTAACGGGTTACTCATGATTTGCACTTTGCAAATATATGTAAGCTAAACTTGAAAGATAAAAGGGTGTTGTAGTCTAAAAACATGTTGATGAAAAACATTGATATTTATTATTATCCATAAGACCGCTAAGACTAATGACCTCATCTTCAGCAAAAAAGCAATGGTCACTGTAATGTTGGCGGACCGACCGTTGTTCAGGTCAAGTACTTCAAAAATAAAATGCATGCCAAGGACCATCCCAAGTCATCCATCCCGAACCTGACCCAATGTAACAGTGGCAAGGTGGTATAACAATATGTTTTACTACACAACCCAGTCATCCTTATGATATTAAAGCACTCTTGGGCTAAAGAAGAGAGAGAACAACGCATAAATGACCATATATTTTACAACTACATTTACATTTAGTGGGGTGTCAAACTTGCACCCTCAATTCCGTATGAATAAAAAAGGAGGCGGAAATACTTGCTCAAATTCTTTCTACTCCACAGTTATTTCTAGTATAGTGGTAAGTCTGGGTTTTTTATATCTCCGCAGAAGTAAAGAAGAGCACACTACGCTAACAGAAGAAAGAGCCATACAGGCACCAGCCGCCCACGGCGGCAACTTAATCCCCAATGAAGGATAGAATACCCCGGCAGCGATTGGAATCGCAATCACGTTGTACGCCATTGCGAACACATAGTTCCACCTTATCCGGCTAAATGTTTTCCTGGAGATATCGATGGCTGTGATCACATCTTCTAAGTTATTTCTCATTAAAACATAGTCTGCGGCTTCTATGGCAATATCAGTCCCCGCCCCAATTGCCATACCAACATCTGCAGCTGCTAGAGCAGGAGAATCATTGATCCCGTCACCCACCATAGCAACAATGCTTCCATCTTTCTGGAATGATCGTACCACGTCGGCTTTTCCAGCTGGCATTACCTCTGCTCTAAAATCATGAATGCCCACCTGTACAAATAAAAGTACAGTTTATTCAATCTACATTCCCCACAGACTCGAGTCATGTAATCGTATTATTGTTAATGAGCACAAGATTAGATGAGCTTTCAACTTGCATCAAACAAATAAATCCCAATACAGCTTACACAACCGATGCAATTTCGATCATTGTATTTGAGTAAGCAGTATTTCAACAAAACCCCAGAAAAAAATAATGCAATGCATGTGTATGTATGTATATATGTAGTATACAAACCTCCCTAGCAACAGCCTTAGCTGTCCTCCAATTATCCCCAGTAACCATGACAGGTATGACGCCCATTTTCCCTAGGCCTTCTATGACCACAGCAGCTTCTCTCTTCAATGGATCTGCTACTCCCAAAACTCCAATAACATTACCATCATAGGCTACAAGTACGCCTGTCCTGGCACTCTCTTCCAAATCAACTACAAATGTTTCTACATGAGGAGGGATGCAAACTCCACTTTCCGTAAGCAGCTTCCGGTTACCAACCTATTCACAAATACCATGTTTGGTAAGAGTAATAAAGATAATTTCTTAAGCCTCATAATTTATAAATAGCTATGACCGAGCACTCACAAGTATTCGCTTTCCTTTAATAAAACATTGAATTCCTCTTCCTGGCACAGCAGAGAACTCTGCAACATCAAGAAGCCATGCAGGAGGAGGGGATCCTTTGCTGCTGTTTTGGGCATCTTCGGTCAGTGAATTTTCATCAAAGAAATGGAAATGGCGTGCATATTCAACTATTGCTTTGCCCAATGGGTGTTCACTGCTACCCTAAGTAATGAGAAGAAGAGGGGGAATTCAATGACTGTAGAAATGCATTTAAAAAAGAGGCATGACTATTCTGCCCTTCAATGTAAGTATGTACAATAGATTACCTCTGCAGAAGCCACCAGAGTAAGAAATTCTCCACGATCCATCTCTGAGAAAACTTTTGCAGTTGTGACCTTAGCTTTGCCCTGGGTTAAAGTTCCAGTCTTGTCAAATATAACATACTTAACCTTCTGAGCTCTTTCCAGCGCATCTCCTCCCTTTATCAACACACCATTATTAGCTCCAACTCCTGTAGCAACCATGACAGCGGTTGGAGTAGCCAAGCCAAGAGCACAAGGACATGCAATTACCACCACAGATATTGAAAACATTAGGGCGAAGATAAAGTAATTGCCATTTTCTGGAAGCCACTTCGCTGGGTAGGCTCCAGAAATTCCACCAACATACCTGCAATCAATCAATAAAAGTACTCATTATAAGATGGTCACATATTTTATAACACAAAAAGGAAAATATAACAAAATAAGCCGTTCAGATCTTACCATCCCAACCATGTGATCAAGGACAAAGTAACAACCGTAGGAACAAAGATACTTGCTACCTGCAAGCCGCAAAAACCTAGTAGTATTAAGGACTAAACAAAATGTGCAAGCAAGTATCAAAATTGCCGGTAAACAAATAGTTTCTTCCAGTAATGACTTCATAGGTGCTACAACATTGAACATAAATGTTTAATATGAAAATATAGTAAAAAGTAAGTGTCCAAGGGTGTTCATTTAATAAGGGAACCTCCAGTATTTTTGCATTGAACTTTGTCGCAGCCATTCCAGACTTAAACATAAACCATTCGATATTTTTAAATAGAAACTACTTAATTTACAGGCTCTAATCATCATTTGAAATTAATATTACCAAAAAGAAGAAACAAGTAGTTTACTGCAGCTACTTCGACCAGTTTCTCCTACAACAAAAATCCTCCCACTTCTCTTCCACCATCTCCCCACACTCCTAAAATGTTAATTCTTTCAATTTCATATTCTAACCAAAAAAAATTATTCTAGAGATAGATTTATCATCTTCACTTCATCCATGTAAACAGATGATATTAGGATAGTACACTGATAATACAGAATAGATTAGTCATAAAAAACCCATGAACTGATTCAAATACCAACATTTAAACATTTCACACATTCGGATGGCAATCAATATTACTACCTAATCAACCAAGACCTTGAGGAGATTTTAAAATAATAATTTTCAAGCCAGGTAAGCATGCATTGTCTTTTCTTCAGGACACCAAAAAATCAATTTCCATAAAGAAAACTTACAAAATCAGCAAACTTCTGAATAGGAGCTTTGGACATCTGGGCAGTCTCAACCAAACTAATTATCTGGCTCAATACTGCTTCAGAACCAACTTTGGTGGCCTTCACGTGAAGAGCACCGTGTAAATTAATCGTTCCCCCAATAACTGGTGAATCAACCTCTTTCAAGACAGGTACAGACTCACCAGTTACCATGCTCTCATTTACATAACTTGAACCCCATACAACAATACCATCAGCAGGAAGCTTTGCACCGGGAAGAACTTTTAATGTGTCACCAGGCTGAATTAACAAAGCATCGATTTCCCTTTCTCCAATAATGTTTCCAACTGCAGAAAGAATAAATACAAGGTATCTAGTGCTTCAATTTCATTTTTGGCACTAAATTTGATGCAGTTTAAAACCATATAATACTATCAATTATCTGAATATGAAAGAACTGATGGCATAAATAACAAAAGTAAAGTCCTATATACACTTCAAACAGCATTTACCAAAATAAAGCAAAGATTAAGAAACCATACCATTGTCTGTAATCACCAACACTGCAGTAGCTGGTGCAAGTTCTACTAGCTTCTTGATGGCATCAGATGTTTTCCCTTTCGCAAGACATTCCAAATACTTTCCCAATAATACAAATGTTATCAGCATGGAACTTGTTTCAAAGTATGTTGGTGACCAAAACCCAGTTACTGCACCATAAAGAAGTGCACCAACAGAGTAGAAATAAGAAGCTGAAGTACCCAATGCAACCAAAACGTCCATGTTAGTTGAACCATTTTGAAGAGCTCTGGCAGCAGCAATGTAGAAACGCTTCCCAACAACAAATTGAACAACACTAACAAGTGCCCATTTCAGCCAATCACCCATTAAGAAAGGTCCACATCTCCAAAGCAAGAAGGCATCGAACAAGGGTATATGTGGACAAACTACTCGAATTAGAAAGACAGGAATCTGGATCAGAACAGGCCAACAATTAGTTCAAAACAAATACAAGGGAGGGGGAACCAATTAACAATTTTCATTAAACAATGCATTACACAGACAACAATTGGTGTTGTAAGATTCCAGAAAAATGCTACTGTTTGGAGGCCATAAGGCAAAGTGTCCTTTTGCTTTCATGTTCATGTAAAAGGTTATATGGTTTCAAACACAGATTCTTATCATCTATCCCCTTTAGCTTTACAACATATCTCAAAACTAGACTACTAGTAAAGAAGAGAGGTAAAAGAATACTTACACTGAGAAACAAACTGGAAGTAAAAAGCTGGAACATAATTGAGGCCTCTTTCACATCTTTAGTAGTCATTCTTGCATATGGGTTCATAACATGCAGTTTGAACTTCCCTTTACTTTCTCCTTCAATTCCATCAACCAAGGATCTTGAACTGACAACTTCAGGATCAAAAAGAACTTCAAGTTCTCCAGAAGTTCTGTCAAAACGAAATTGTCGAACCCCTTTCAAGATGCTAAGTATGCCTTCCAAAAGCTGTACATCCAGCTCATTAAATACACCAGAAACCCCAAGTATGATTTTATCCTGCTCACTACTTTGTACAAGTGAGGCTTCAAAACCAGCATCTTCAATCGCATTGACTATATCATTTTTACTAATTACCGTAGGATCATATTCAACTTCCCCTAATGAAGTGGCTAAGGAAACAACAGCTCTAATAACACCAGGAAGATCTCTCAGAATGCCTTCAACGGAGTTGACACAGGCTGCACAGGTCATACCTCCTATTGTAAACTGCCCCACAAGCATTCCACGTGGCTTTTTTCCAACATTGCTGGGTTCAGGTAGAATCTCAGCCTCAAACCCAGCATCTTCAATGGCATTCTTTATGTCTTCATCCTGAATTTCAAGGGAGTATTAGAGATGATTTGTTCACAAAAAAGCTCCATTTTTGAGGTACATATATGACTCAAGCTCATAAACTGTACCCAAGATAAGTAGGAGTTTCAACTTTCAAGTACCAGACATAAAGGTTACAATAGAAATCCAGGCACCACATTCAAGAAAGAAAAAGTTCTGAACCCTAACCCCCCCTCCTCCCTCCAAAAAAATAATAAAAATAGTTAAATAAAAAATAAAGAACGAGAGGAAAAAAGCTATTGGAAAGTTGCATTTCAACCAAAATTTACCTCATGACAGAAAATAGGTGAAACAATAGTACAAATCTTCACATATTCAAAAGAAAAGAAAAAAAAAAAAAACTATTTCCCCATGAAAAAATTAAAGAGAGAGCGATCAATTAAATAGAAAGATATGTACATGTACATGTACATGTACATGTATATGTATATGTATGTATAGGTATATGTATATGTACATCATGTACATGTATTAACATGACAACATGTAATGTATGTAAAGTATATGTATATGTATATGTATATGTATATGTATATGTATATGTATATGTATATGTATATGTATATGTATATGTATATGTATATGTATATAAAGGGAACCTAACATAAACACCAGATGAAGCGGTAAGAGTAATGCTAATTAATTTAATCTAGAGCCAATATTACTTTAGAAAAATGCTAATATGATTACAACACTGGATGAAAAGCAAATAACATGGATACAGCAAAACATGTGATATGCTGTACGTTTGATTGAGAGTGAAAGAGATGAAACACCAACGTTCATTAGAATGTCTTTTTCGGTCCAGTGAAATAGATAAACTAATATTTACACGCTGCAAATGGATGTAGCGATCATGATAAAACATTGACAAAATCAGAAACTGCTATCATTTTCGCAAAGAATTTGATACAGTTACAGATAAGACACAGTAAAATCAGACTTCAAATGCAATATGTATACAGATAAATAGTTAACAAAGCTAATGAAAATTAAACTTCGGGAAAGCTCAAGGCCAAAGACCAAACAACACTATACTTAACCAAAAGTGCGGAAATAAGATTACGCATTAAATCAAAAGATGCACTTAAATGAAGAGAGTAACCAATCGACTTCACCCGACATTAATCAAGCTAATTTTCACTAATTAAACGAACCCAGGACCATAATCGAAAGTCAACCGTGAAATAAAAGAAATGAATCTACATCTATCTAATTAAGAAAACCCAACAAACTTAATTAAAAGGTAAGGTAAGGTAAGGGCAGTAACCTTAACCAAATTCGGGTCAAAAACAACATCAGCACGGTTCTGCAACAAAGCCACGGATGCTCGGAAAACCCCATTGATGCTCTTCAAAGCACCCTCCACGGAATTGGAGCAGGCGGAACACGTCATCCCCGTTACAGTGACCTGAATTCTCCGCATACTAGCAGCTTCATCGATACTTACCGACTTAAAATCTCCAGCGTCGAACGAATCCAAAAGTCGCGTGCCTTCCTCTATGTCGACGGGATCGTCAGCGCGTACAGGCGAGGAATAGGAGGATCTCCTGCCGCCGGCATCCTGCGACGTCATTTGCATGTCCGGAAGAGGAGAGAAAAAATGAAAGAGGGATGAGAATTGAGCTTAGAGGGAGGAAATCAGAGGGAAAGAAAAGGAAATTTGTAATATATATTTATAGAATGAGAATACAAAAAAAAAAAGATTTATGAGAGATTTCCGAGGGAGATGGTGGAAACAGCCATTTTTCAACTACGAAGTCTGGCTTGGCTTTGGCTTTGGCTTGCTACCAAATTGCCCCTGCCATTTATGTGGATTTACAGTTAGACCGCTTTTTGTACTACGCGTAACAAAACACAACATAATCGCCCTTTTCTATTTCATCTTCCCAACTAATCAAATTAAACAAATGTGTTAAAATTGACGTATAATATCATATATGTAGATGGGACAAATTACTGAGTTACTCGTTTTCGGTCCATAAAATTTTAAAGTAATAAACTATCCAATTTTAAGTATAAATTTAAAAGAATCTTATTCAAGATTTTAGTTCTACAACCTAATAAATCACTTTAGTAATAAAAAGATATTATTTTTAGAGATTTCAAATTCAAACAGTTATATTTATAAAAATATATATGTATATATATATTGTTAACGATTAAAAAAAATTATACTCATATATTATTTTCTAACCACTTTAAACCATGAAATAAAATTTAACACAGATTGCAAATGATGTTTAATAGCAGTATTTTGACTAAGTCAACTTTATGTTGCTATTGGTTGGTTGACATAATTAACCACTTGACCAACCTCGTTTTAGAAAATATAGTAATATAAAATAAGAGGGGCAGTTGTGTAATTTGGAAAAGTGGGGAGGTCAAGATTAGAAAACTTAAGCGCTTAGCCGTCCCCTTTGTTGTGAACAGAAAATATATATTCCTACAAGGCAGGCAGGCAGCCGCCACCGCATTACTCAACGTTTTGGTTTCTGGTCTCCTGTGGTAGGACGGGGTGACTTTTCTAAGGTCAAACTCCAAGCACAAGTTTTCTTTAAATATAATGCTTCTTTGAACAAAAAATATCCATTTGTATTTGATTTCAAAGAGACTTAGAAATACATTTTACCCAATAATCACACACATATATATATATATATAGCGAAATTCTAAAATAGATGTCAAATATTGATATTCACTATTAATTTTATAAGGTAAAATTTATAAATGAATATTAAAATATATCAAAATGGTTTTTTTAGACTCTAATTTTTTTAAAAATATATATATAATAGACATTAAACTTTAGATTTTGTTACAAAACGGTTATCGAGTCATTATCTATCATTAAAGAGGCGATATGGTATGTTAAATTAATAGAACATGTCTCATTTGACCTTTTAATTGTGATTAAAATTTCATTTTATCTTTAATTTTAATTAAAATAATTATTATTATGTTCGTTGAATTGAAAACAAAATGGATATAATAAATTAAATATTATTTTTTAGTGTCATCTTTAAATATTGAATTTATACCATAAAAATTACTTCATACATTATTAAAAGTTAATGACTATTTTGATTATTTTTATTTAAGTTTACATGTATTTTTATTATTAATATGATATTAGAATTTTCTAGATGTGTTTTTTTAAATTATGTTTAAAATTATTAAACAAAAGTCAAATATTTGAACCACGTTGTTTAATAAAAATAACTATATTGTTTGATAATTCAATTTTTTAAATCTCAAAAATTATAAAATTTAAATTTTATAAATACAGTCACGATTAATGAATAATTAGTTATAAAATAATTCGATGAATGAAAATTTTCAAAAAATTATAACTTTTATTTTTAAAAAAAATTATTTTCATATATTTTAAAAATTGTAGTTTTTATATTTTTAAAATTATTACTTCACAATATTAAAAATATATTAAAAAGAAATTTTAGTTATAATTGAAATGTCAAATAAGGTATTTCTCATTAATTTAGTATCTCACGTCACCCCCTTAACAATAGTTCATAGTCGTTACTTATGTTTTAATAAAATTTGAAGTTTAATGTCTATTTTATAACTTTTAAAAATTCGATAACAAATGAAATTATTTTAATAAATTTAATGATCATTTATGAATTTTACTATAGTTTTATATTACTGGTGATATCGTTTCTAAATTTTTTCCATAGTTCACGGTGTGTGTCACTCAATGTAGACTCATCCTATATGTTTATATGTGATATCTTTTCTAGATTTTTTAATAAATTGTGTTTCTGTTATTATTTTTCTGCTTATTAAAGTTTACAAAGAATTCTTTCGCATAACAAAGTCTACGAAAACTAATATTAAATGATCAATCACAATCTTTTAACATGATCTGTCAGAGCCAAATTTATCGCCAGACGATCATATATTTTCACTCTATCAATCTATAAATAGTTGTTATGACCTAAGACCTGACACTATTATTAAGGGTAATTATATAAACTCATCATGCAAGACTAATGGGATTAGAATTCTCTCTCTCGTCCACACATAACTCATCATTCTCGACTTACCATTCTCCCTAAAATCATCACTTGTAGCTCTTTACTCAAATTATAAGGGATGAATCGTCCACAATTGTCGCAACATATATTTCACCATAAAAAATGATACAGTGAATGTGTAATATTTCTTGAACAACAAAAATCAATCAAAAAGAACCCTCAAGAACAAAGCAACCAACCCAACATTTCATCCTTCTTAAAATTCTCATGGTGTGTTTAATTTTTCTAGCCAACACATTACCAATGAATTGATGTGCACTGAGTGTATTTTTCTTATTTAACTTATAATCTCCAAAATATATATCCAAAAAAGTATACAAGCTAAAGATAAAATGTCTAGGATATTGAAATCCTAAACTATGAGTGTCTCTAGGTCTATAAAGATCGTCTTAATGGCTTTGTTTCTTTATGGTATGATTGAAATTTAACACACAAGTAAATATTAAATTTAAGATTCAATCTAAATTTATTTTTATTATATAACTTAACATCTATACATTTATCTTCATTATATTTGTTAATATTTGTATAAGTGTCAATTGGTATGGCTTGAGGTTTTACATCTCTCAAGCTAAATTTTTTGAGTACATCCATGTATTTAACTTGATTGAAAAATATGCAATTCCTCTTTTGCTTGTTTTTAATTATAAAAAAGAATGAGAGCTTTTTTATTATGCTTATTTTAAATTTACCTTACATAAGTTTGACAAATTGTTAATAAAGGGAGTCATTAATAGCACTAAAAATAATATCATTAATATATTTTTTTCTATTAATAAAAAGAATGATAAGAAACTCAAACTGGTCAGAGTAAAGACTAGTCTAGTAAAAAAACTTAATTTTTTAAAATATGTTATATTTCTAATATTTTAATACTTTTTTAATATTTTAAAAAAAATTGTTGGTTTCGAATTTTTTAACTTTTATATTTTAAATGAATTTAAAATAATCATTATTATTAATTATTAACATGGTTTTTAATTAATTTTAATTTATTCAATTTTTTAATTTTTTAATATTTCTAAATTTTTGTTTTCTAAAATAACAAAATAAATCTTTACTTTTTTTTCCTTAAATCAAACAAATTCTTAAATTTTTCAAGAAAAAAAAAATCAATCAAGCCATTCTTCCACATCATCATTCCATGTTAACTCCCACATCAACAAGTTTAACAATCACATTACCACAGTACAAATCAACATTGATCAAAGAGTTTATTTGATTTATTTTACCAGTTCGATTACCTAATTGAGTGTAAAAAATAGAAGCATAATTGATTCTTTTAGAATAGTTCGAGGACGTTTTAAACCGTTAAATAAAATAATTATACTAATAAAAGATATCAAGAATGATTTGTGTTATTATTTTGTGTGTCAATGTATCTTGGGTAGTTCTGTTGTACGGCAACCTAATATAAGGTTAAGGAAAGACGTTATAAGAAATGTTAATATTTTTTTAACATTTCTGATAGAACTCTACTTAAAATGTTATTTTTTCTACTGAAAATGTTGATTTCATTACCTAAAATAAATATTTCCGATATTAACATTTCTTGTATAAAAAATAATTTTTTACGTAGCACTTGATATTAAAATTTTCGGTAGAAAAAAAAAATAACATTTTAGGCCAAAAATGTTAAAAAATATTAACATTTTCAGTAGCGTCTTTCTTAACCTTATATTAGGCTGTCTTTCTTTAGACATCCCCATGTATCTCACATTTTTTTAATTGCTAACAGTTATTTAATGTAACAAAAAAATAAGACTATTATATTGTATTTGTGTATGTATTTCAATATATTTAAAACATTATGAATGTTTATAAACTTTTACACTTAATGGATTTTTCTTAATAGCGTGAAATCAATATAAGGTAGTATATGTTTAGACTATCTTTTAATTATTGACAAAGTGTATAGATTTTGCAAGACATAACTACTAAAATATGTAATCTCTAAAAAAACAACAATATTTTTTACAACAATAATCACTTGATGAATTCTTTTACACTTAATAATTCATTTGATGTAAATTTTAATATATTCATATTCTTTTATCGATTTCATGTTATGTTTTATTTTAATTATTATATATTTGTTTCCATATGATTTTCAAGTTTATCTCATATCTTACAATTTATATAACTATAAACTTCTTTCCCTTTGTTCATCTTTTTCATTAGCCTTTCTTTTTCAGCTTTTTTATCTAAACCTTACCCAAAAAAATTATTTATCACTTTAACACATATTTCATATTATCTTTTAATCTAATATTTTTTATACCACATAGTCGGAATATGATTTATGAAGGAAATACCTTCTGTTTACGTGACACAAAAAAGTCATAATTTTTAAATTAGGTGCTTCTTACAAAAACGCACATTCTGCCACGTTAGCAAAAGACGCTTCCAACAAAACACGTCTCCTACAGAATGCGTCTTTATCTACGTAATAGAATTGGACAATATCATCATGGTGTTATTTCGGTAATTAATTATTTTTAGGTGATATTAGATAAAAAAAATTCCTTCTTTCTCTAATTAATACAATGACTAAAATGCCCATCACGG